CCTCTCCAGAAACATCTCTGCTAATGTTTAAACTCTCAGCCTGAAAACCAACATTATAGAAACTAAGACTGACTATACCTACAAATTATATCAAAAAATGAAATAAGAAAAGAAAAATACAGCACCTTCTTGGTTATCTTGTCAACTTCATCAATGTAAACAATCCCTTGTTGAGCTGCTTGTACATTGAATTCAGCTGCCTATTTACAAGATCAACTATGTGAGTTCACTGATATGAATGAAAGTGCAAGCACAAAGTTAAAAGACTAATTGAAGCTTGAAATCAAGAACAACATAAACTAGCAGAAGTTTTGTCAATGACTAAGATGTTGTTGACACAGCAGAAATTTGCATTGCTATTTAAAGATTCACTATAACTGGACCACCCAAATCAAATCAGAACAGTACATGGTCATGTGGATAAAGGATCCAAGCCAGAACAAATTATTGTCAAGCTCTTATAGGTTTTATTGCCCATACAAATTTGATTTGACCTATTCATTTGATGGAAATAACCACGAAGTTATAGACATTGTCCTCAGGATTGTCCTTTCTCATCAGTACATATGAACAACCATACACAACTAAGGGGGGGGGGGAAAGGCTATACCCATGCACTCTCACATCACAACTAAAGAAGAGAAGTGATATCATTTCAAAGATGATTAAGTGTTGAGAAAACACAGAAATGCATGCACATTCCCCCCAGAAAGATGGGAAAAGATAGACATATTACTGCAAGGATAAGAAGCAACAATTTGAATGTCACTTGAACTGTAAGTCAGATAAATGCAAATACGGCATACCATACCATCAGTAGTTTGTACAATATTGATTCAACATCCTCTCCAACATAACCAGCCTGCAAAATAGCAGTATTTGCCTCTTTCAGTTCCCCAGTAATAGATAAAGATATATCCAGCCTAAAGAATGCTGGATGTAAATGATTAAATTAAAGCTGGAGAAAGTAAATTTCAATACTACATGCCGACTCTCAAAATTCAATTGCAATCAGTTTGCAGTTAGTAAAAGATACCAAGCATGCCAAAACTAACCTTGGCCCAAATGACAGATATTGTATTCAATCTTTATGCTCGAGTATTTAGAGTTCATAATAGTTGTAGATAAGTAACTAAAAAACAAACTTACTTGTGTTAAAGTTGTTGCATCAGAAATCACAAATGGCACATTCACAAAACGAGCTAGTGTTTTTGCAAGCAACGTCTTCCCTGTTTTATATTACAATACTACAGTTAGAAGGGCAGGTTAACATCTTAAGTTTCTTCTTACTTCAACTTCCAGATAGCCAGGTATCAATTTAGATGATTAGTCTCACTCTAAGAACATAAAGAATTGGAGAGCACCAGGTTTTCTCCATGTGCGTCAGAAGAAATCATACCGGATCCAGTTGGGCCCATCAAGAGCACATTGCTCTTTTCTAGCTCCACTTTATCATCATCATCTATTGTGTTTGGAATTCCTGATTCTCCTCCTGACCTAGTATACAACTCCACTGGTTCAGTTCTATTAAATAGATACACAGAAACGATAGAACATAAAGGACCACCTCCTCTGACAGCTTACAAAAGTATTATTATGACTCAGAGGGTAAAAAAGTCTGAGTAAAGAGCTAGGAGCATAAATTTTAGTTCAGTTAGAGTGAGAGGTCAGACAATAAACTGAAAATAAAAATGAAAGTCGGCTGAAAACCAACCCTTTCTGCAAGGAGGCATGATATATTCTTTTGTAGTGGTTATAAACAGCCACAGAAAGCACCTGCCCAACAGAGATGCAAAAATAATCCACAGAATACGTTTCAAAGGGCCATGGAATAAAGCATTGAACGAAAATGCAGAGGAAAAAAGAGATAGGGAACCTTTTTGGCTCTTTGTTGGCCAATAACGAACTTGTCAAGACCCTTGCAGATCTCCTTGGGCGTGGGCAAATCTTTTCCCAAATTGGACCCGCCCCAGGCATTGTTGTTGTCTCCCCCAGCATCTCCAGGGGGCCCAGAAGCACGAATGACATTGACTCCAGGGGCAAAAGGAGGGCCCGGAGGAGTATGCACGGCTAGCCCATTGCCTGGAGGAGGAGGAGGAGGAGAAGGCGGAGGCCAGTTGTCTGGCGGGTCCACCCCATTCGCATATGACCTCAAAGTGTCCCAGAAAGACACCCTCAGCCCATTACTGTTAATATTAGGCATCGAATCTCCACCACCACCTCCTCCTCCTCCTCCTCCATTACTATTATTAGTATTTTGGGTATTTCTGGAATGGGACTTGTTGTCGGAGTTGGTTCTGGAGGCGTTACGATTGGACGAGGTGGTGGTGGTGTTGGTGAGTCTCCCAATCTCTACGAAGGTGCCCTGGAGGGGAGCAATCTGGTGGGGTCGGAAGTAGTAGGCGGTTTTGCAATTGGGGCAGAGATTGAGGGCCTGATACTGATGAAATTCAGAGTCGTCAGCCTTGGTCTTGGTGGTCGTCTTGGTGCTGGTGCTGCTGCTGGAATCATCTGGAGGAGATAAGTTGGGTAAGCGCCGATCGGAGAAGAGGAGATCCATGCGGTTGAAGGAGCAGCGGGGGCAATTCGCCTCCGCCCTGATTTTGCGGGTGCGAACATCGCCGCCGGAGGCAGAGCCGCCGTGGTCCCACTTGTAGCGCTCCTGCACTCCGATCAGAGACTCTCTTCGGCGATGGCTCGTGACATGAAGGTGGTTCAAGTGCGTCGAGATTGGGGATACCTGAGTGAACCGCTGCTGGAGCTCTGCTATATGCTTCACCTTCTTCCATCTGAGCATTCCAGACATTTCAAAAGAAAATACTTGATACTTAAAAAAGACAAAAACAAAGGACCAACGGACAAGAGATTTCAATTCGATCAATCGACAAGAGAGTGAGAGTTTGTGTTTGAGTTTGAGAGAGACAGGAAAGAGATTGGGATTGGGATTGGGATTGGGATTGGGATTTCCAATGCTATATTATATAATCATGACCAAAATGTAAAATAACGGAGGAGAACAATAGAACTAAAAGAGGAAACTTTGGATATAGAAAGAGAGAGGGGGGAGAGGAGAGCGCCAAGGTCCAAGAAAGAAGGATACGGAAGCAACACAGAAAGAAAAGATAAAGTGGGTGGGGAGTGTTTATAGGAACAAAATATTGAGGAAATTTAACTGACCAAAACTGAAAAACTTCCAAATCCATTAATCCACAATCCACTCTCTTTTTTTCCTGTCCAGAGTCTAATTTGCTAACTTTGACGGTTTGACTGCGTTCGTGTTGTTAAAAACTTAACATGTACTTGACGTGTTCACCTACATATCCCCTTCCTTCGCCCAGCAATATCATCAGCCGCACCAATACCGCCCCACGATTGCCTCTCTAACTCTATGTGCCGCATGCGATCCTACCATGTTTGCTCTCTACTTCTTTTGGATAGCCCTTCCTTTTTACTTCTTTGTTTGGTTTGGTCGGATATAACTTTTTAATCGACACAAAAACACTCCATTCAGTTTTCATTCTCCTACTCCATCCTGATGTATTCATAAATGAATTTGTGGATTTTGTCTTCCGTGTTGAAGAATGTTAAGTCAGTAGGAAATTTGACAAAATAAAATATGGAAAAAGTTTGGTTTCATAAAATCAAATGAAATTTTGACACTTGTCAAATTTCTTTAAATTTTTATTCTTTTGAATTTCTTTAACTATTTTTCCCGTTGAAATTTAACAAAGTGTTAAAATTCCATTTATAGTAAGAATGTGCTCGTTCATTTGTTGTGAGGAGCCAAGCCATGCTCTTACATTTATGATAGGATGAAAATTAAGGTACATGGAAAATAAGATAAAGTTGTTTAAAAAAAGGAAAATATTTACCTTATTTTTCTACTATTTATAATTTAACATGTGTGCATAATTTTTTTTTTTTTTTTTGGGTGTCTTTTTTTTATGAAGAGTGCTTCGCAGAAAAGGGAATGTAAAGGCAAGGAGTGTCGGAAAAAAAAAAAAAAGGATACCCAAGATTTTTATCTGGTTATCAACTCAAACCGATAACGACGAAAACCTCAGTAACAAAAGTAAGGAAGAAGATGGTGAATCTAAACCAACTGCTTGCAAAATGCAAAAGCCTCAACCATGTAAAGCAACTGCAAGTCTTTATCATCACCCTGGGATACACCCAAAATCAGCTCTACGCCTTCAAGCTCGTCCGCTTCTGCCTTGTTACTCTTGACAACCTTCCCTATGGTCGCCTCATCTTCGACTGTCTCAGCTCCCCCAATGTATACCTCTTCGCTGCCATGATCACTGGTTATGCCTCCCAATCCCACCACCATTCTGCTTTTCTGTTGTACCGATCCATGCTTCGTCAGGGAAGCGCTCGACCCAACCAGTTTATCTACCCCCACGTCTTGAAATCTTGTCCAGAGGTTTTTGAGTCTCATGGGACTGCATTGGTGCACACGCACATTATGAAATCGGGTTTTGGTCAATACCCAGTTGTACAAACAGCTCTTGTTGATTCCTACTCGAGGTTCCGCTCAGATGTTGGCTCAGCAAGACAGGTATTCGATGAAATGTCTGAGAAAAATGTCGTGTCCTGGACGGCTATGATTTCTGGGTACACTAGAGTTGGGGACATTGGCAGTGCTATTTTGTTGTTTGAGAAAATGCCGGAGAGAGATGTCCCTGCTTGGAATGCTGTTATTGCTGGGTGCACGCAGAACGGCGAGTTCTCGGAGGCAATTTATCTGTTCAAAAGAATGTTAGTTCTTGCGCATGGGGGGCAAAATCTAGAAAATAGACCAAACCAGGTTACAGCTGTTTGTGTACTTTCAGCTTGTAGTCACACTGGCATGCTGCAGCTTGGTAAATGGATCCACAGCTATATTTACAAAAATGCGCTTGGTCCAGATTCATTTGTTTCCAATGCTCTAGTGGATATGTATGGGAAATGTGGGAGCTTAAAAGTGGCAAGAAGGGTTTTCGACAGGACCTCACAAAAAAGCTTGACATCTTGGAATTCCATGATCAACTCTTATGCTCTGCACGGCCAAAGCAACGATGCAATTGGTGTTTTTGAAGAAATGATACGGTGTGGGGCAGATGTTAGACCAGACGAGGTCACTTTTGTTGGCTTATTCAATGCTTGTACTCATGGAGGATTGGTAGAGCAAGGTATTTCTTATTTTGATTTGATGACTCGGGGTCACGGGATTGAGCCTCAGATAGAACACTATGGATGCTTGATAGACCTTCTTGGTCGAGCAGGTCGATTTGAGGAAGCCATGGAAGTTGTGAGGGGAATGAGAATTGAACCTGATGAGGTTGTATGGGGTTCTCTGCTTAATGGATGTAAGATTTATGGTCGTACTGATCTCGCAGAATTTGCAGTTAAAAATTTAATTCAAATTGATCCTAATAATGGTGGTTATGGTATCATGTTGGCCAATATATATGGGCAGTTGGGGAAGTGGGATGACGCCCGGAAGGTGAGAAAGGTGTTGAGGGAGCGAAATGCTTATAAAACCCCAGGTTGCAGTTGGATTGAGGTTGATAACCAAGTTTACCAATTTTATTCCGTTGACAAATCACATCCTAGAACGGAAGAGATCTACCAAATCCTAGACACGCTTGTTGGTTTTATCATTTTGAAGTTAAGTTGCAATTGATCTCGAATTCTCAAACTCCTCTTATTTCTTCCCAATCCATGAACTCTGCTTAAAAGCCTAAATTTGGTTCAACAGTTCAAGCAAGGTTATTTGGTTCCTACCTACTATATAACCACATTTACATATAAAAGGTCTAGGTTTTATATATATATATATATATAATGCTTTTCTTTTGCTGGCCGAAAAGGTACCGACCACCTGCATTAGCCCACCATTTCTCTGGAAATGAGGTTATGACAGAGTATGTTTTTGCCTCCCTGAGCCTCGCATTGGTGAGAAACTCGTATACTGGACCACCCTTTTCTGAGTTGTATTAAGGACTCTTGTAGCTTAGCCAACTGGACATCACCGGTGGTCTTTCTGCCTTCCAAGTGATAATTAGAAACAGCAACGCAGTTGTTTTGGTAAGAGTTTTAATCTGTTGTTTTTTTCATTAGTATTTTGACGGATTGCATTCGTAATACAGGCAATTGTATGCATTTTTGATAATTAGCGTGTGTACTTTTTGTTGACTTGTTGCTTCGTGTAGACAAACTGGTGTTGGTTTTATACTTTTGCCCTAGCTCTTTACCACTTTATGCTTGCCCTTCTCATTGTTACATTTAATATTTAATTAAAACCAACTTGTGTTTTCTTTTATTTATTTCTTGATGGAGCTTCATTATTGTGAACTTGTTTTTATCATCAGTTAAGGTCTTGTATCGGATTAACTAGCTAGAGCTAGATAAAAATTTGCTTTCCAAAGCATCGATGTCTTTTTCACCCTTGATCTATATTCCTTCTCTTCCTTTGGATCTGGCTGAAGATTGTGGTTTAAAGTTAAGAGTTGAAGTTGGGTTTTTGTTTTACTAGGAACAGCATCTAAAGTGGGCATGGCTTTATATTGCAGACAGGTACAATTCCTAGATGCACTCGACAGGTTTGACAAAAGCTCCTTTCTTTCACCCTACTAATATATTTGTGTCCATTTATTTAATGATGGTTCCTGAGTTGCGACTTATTCGATTTATCTGTAATTTTTGTTTTTATTTTGCTCCTGGTCTCTTTTGACTTAAAACACATACATTAAGTTCACATACAAGTGTTGTATGATCATGGCATGAAATTGACGATCCCTATGTTATATGATTATATCCAACGAGGAAAACTTAAGAAATGTGGGCATATTTCCCACCATGGATACATTGGATCAAGATAATTGAGTGAGTTTTACCGGTGCATGTGGTTTTCATGCAAATTTACAGGACGAGGGAGTTTTATTAACTTAAAACATCTCAAGGGAAAAAAACAGAAACAGTTACAAACTTTATTTTATAATAGCAAGTTGCAAGCAGAGTGATACGAAATCATCATTTTACTCATCCCATAAAGTTTTTTTTGTTTTTTGGACTCACTCATCCCACAAAGTTGCATAACAGTGAATTATTTAAAGCTCTTGCTTGACCTCACTAGCCTTGAGCTGGGCAGGTTCGTCCTCATGTCCTCCAGTGCTAGCGATGCTAATCACCTTAGGGCCTTTGATCTTATCAGGGGATAACTTGGCCAGTGTCAAAGTGAGAACCCCATTCTCCAACTTGGCGTTGACAGAGTCCAAATCCACGTTCTCTGGCAGCCTGAACTGCCTCCAAAATTTTCCGTAAGACCTCTCAACTCTGTGCCAATGATCCCCTTTCTTCTCTTCTTCCCTCTTCCTCTCTCCACTCACTCTCAGAACTCGGTTCGCCTCCACCTCGATTTTCAGCTCTTCCTTCTTTAATCCCGGCACATCTAACATTATAACATGACCCTCTGGCGTTTCTTTCCAGTCCACCCTTGCTGGAGAGAGTGCCACGCCGTCTTCTTTGTCAAGTTCAAATGGGATCTGTTCTAGCACTCGGAACGGGTCTGGAAAGCGCTCCGACCAGAGATCAACCAGCAAACTTTCTGGGCGGCGATCAACGAATGGCAGCAAGGACGCATTGGATGACCCAGCTGAAAGAAAAACAAGGAGAAAGCTCAAGGTTAAAACAAGAGAGCGGAGTTGCCTCATTTCTCTTATATGGTTTGTTCGCAGGAGTGGGTTATTGGTTTAATGATGAAGAAAGATCGATGCCGGTGAATACTAGTGATCGTGTTCTAATGCCGCTGTCTGCTTATCCCGGTTTGGACTGGTTAGCGATGTATTTATTTAGCATGGGATGGGATGGGATGAAACTTATAGAGAGGGAGAGAGAGAAAGTTTAGGAGGTGCGGGACATGGTTCTTGAAAATTCGAAATTGAAAAACATTCTTTAGACCAATTTAGAGAAACAAGGAAGGTTCCAGCTTCTTCCTTTCCTTCTGTTTTTCTTTCTTTCTTCTTTCTTCTTGATATATCTTATTAATTATTTACTTTAATATGTGCAAGTAGAAATGTGGAGCGTTCTAAGAGATTCTATCTTTTTCCCTATTGTTCCAGAGGCTTCACGATGCATGCCTTCTGATTTTATCCTTTTTCATTTTCATTAATTTTTAAAGACAACTTTTGCATTACACGTTTTTTAATACTCTTTAGTATTAACATCAAAAAGACCCCTGGAGGCTGGGGTCATTCTCAATATGGGCCTCTGAGTATCAATTTCATCAATTTACACTTCATAGTTTTCAAATTTGACAAATTTAAGTCTTCCATTAAGTTGACCGTTTGGCCAGACGTTAACTGATGATGTGTCCATTGTGGGACCCATTATCTAATTCAAAAAATTAATTTGATATAAAATAATAAATTAAATTAAATTTAAAAAAAAAAAAAAACCTAAGAGTTGCAAACCCAAATCTCCACCATGGACAGGGCAAAAAAACCCACAACCTCTCCCACAGCTAGTATCGAACTGACTTATTAATGTTGGAGGGCAGTGGAGGAAATGGAAGACGTGGATAGATGCAGAAAGAGCTAGGATGGAGAGGATGGAGAGATGCAGACCCACCATGGGTAGATGCAGAGATATTGGAGGAAATGGGTTATATATGGTGGATATTTTTTAAATTAAAAAAGAAAAGGATTTGGTTACTGCCATTTTGTTTTGTTTTGATGGTGGAGTGTGTTGTGTGTTTTGGTTGTTTTGTCTTTCCTTTTTGAAATTAGTTGTTGTCTGCAGAGAGAGAGGAGGTTGTTTCGATGGTTGCCACTACTCATAATATCCATGAGCCAACATCGCCAATCGCCAACGCCTCCCTCTTGTGCCACCGTCAACGCCTGCCTAAGAATTACATATTGTATCGTAGGGGTTGGGCCTCTAGGTGGGGTTCTCCATTTTTGTTTGTTTTGTGTAATTTTGCTGCGATGGGATTGTTGCTAGGGTTGTATGGTCAGGGGTAGGGTGGGTCGGGTTGTGGTTTCGGTGCGATTGGGTGGGTTGTTGGTTAGGTGCAGTTCGGGCAGACGAGTGGGAAGACAGAAGAGGTTGAGAATGAGCTGAGGAAAGCGAGGGAGTGACTACTGATGATGGGTCGACGTGGGGAACAGAGAAGGGGTTGGGTAGATTTTTTTTCTTAATGCTTTTTTATTTTATATAATTTTTTTTGAATTATTTAGTGGGTGGGTCCCATATTGGTCTTTTTCGAACTGCTGTTTAGTTATGAGGTGGGTCCTATGACTGCCACGTCAGCATTTAACGTCTGACTTTGACGGTCAATGTAACGGCGGGTATAAATTGGTAATACTTTCAAATTTCGGGTATGAAATTGATTTAATTGAAACATTGGAGCCCATTTCGATACTGACACTAAACTTCCAAGGACTAAAGTGTAGTTTTTCCTACTTTTTAATAAGTGACTCATCGTTTGGTTACGTTTTAGAAAAACGAATATATATATATATATAAATTCCTTTTTATTGAAGGATTCTTTACGAATGTTTTTTCAAAGATACAAATTATCAATTTTTTAAGTCTACATTCATAGATCATTGTTGGGGTCTTTTTGACAGGACCCAACCCAAATTTCATTTTGGAATTCGAGCCAAACCCTATGCGTGTCCGACACCTGGCGAGTGCCGAGCACAAATTACCTATTTGCCCTTCTATTCAAAATTCAATTTATTGGCAGAGTCTTCCCTGTAAATTGAACATTTCTCAAAATTTCCACCTGTCAACAAACATTTATATATCCCAATCATTCAGCATGTATAAAGTATACCCAAGCAAATCAAGCATCATATTATTCTGGCCTCAGGCCGCAACAAATCAAATAAATCAATCTGCTAATAAAATTCATCTTAACTTTTAGAACAACAATAATACATTGGCAATCTCAAACATTCTAACTTGTGGCTGCACCTTGTAACCATAGGCTACCTACGTGCCCTTACTGAGGGATCAAGCCACACGTAGTTCTCATATTTCATCCCAGCCTCCTGTTCCTAACTTCCTGGCATTACTCACTTGGCAATATATAATTAAATGAATGAATAAAAGTATTTAGATTCAGGTAATCACACCTTGGAAGCCATAACTATCCATCTCCTCGTGACACCATTGGTGATACGTCCTGCCCTGTAATCCTCGCTGGACTCAGGAGACATCTGGTCAACCTGATCCGCAATCCTCGCTCCCACGGTCCAGATAACTTTAAGACTTGTGGGGCAAAATATGCTAGAAAAACTTAAGCTATTTAATACTATATAGAATAACAAAAGATAAAGATAACTAAACATAATAAAATAAAATAAGTTAAAGATTTATAAGCTTTGAACACCTTTTTATCAAACTCACATAAAGTTCATAAATAAATATTTATATTTATATATCTCCATAACTTGATTAGAATATATATATATATTTCCATCTGTCACTTGTAAATCAAATGTAACGCTTAATAAAATAATGGTAGCTGTATAAAATCCTCAATTTAGTTTAAAAGCATCTCAGAACTTAAATTCTCTCCACCTAGGCGTACCCCTATTTCTGATCCGTCAATTCCTTTAATACCATCAATTCCATCCTCGCAGGTCTCGGAGACATAAAGTTAACCGAGCCACATTCCTCGCAGGTCTCAGAGATAACACTTCAATCTGAGCCACAATCCTCGCAAGTCCCGGAGACACCAAGTCCATCCGAGCCACATTCCTCGCAGGTCTCAGAGATAACACTTCAATCTGAGCTGCAATCCTCGCACCACACGGTTCAGATGTCCCCGAAACTCGTGGGGCATTATCAAAATAACCAAACTGTTTCAAAGCAACTAGGGGGCACCCTCATGGTGAGTTTGAAAACCATCACCCGTCATTTATATCAACTTTCAATAAACTTGTTCTCAACTAAACTTAAAATATATATATACATTTATATGCCACAATCTGATAAAAGCCAAGTGCTATTATTCATCCTTTTCAACTATTGAATATACATATATTAAACACTTAGCTAGTATGTTAGCCATATCGATCTCTTATTAACATACCGTTCAAATATTATATTAATAATCTTACAACATCATTAACCATATGAATATATAAGCATGTGATAAATCAACAGATAATTAAATACTCATCCTGAATTCACATAAAATCAAGAAATTAAGACCATAAATAAACCAATTGAACACTCGCACGCACATGAACTTTCTAAAAGCTTAAACATATTCAATGGAGCTCATCCTCATTATTTAATCCAAAGTCCTGGCCCTGGGCTCCTAGAAGTGCGTGCATTGAATTGAAGGTCATTCTCAAGCCTATGTAAGCTTTTCCACTTATTAGAACGGTCTAGAAGTGCCTCAGAACTCAAAAAGCGATAAGTCCCAAAAAGTCAACCCGAGACACCTTGGGGTCCACAACCTCAAAATTCTGATCCGAGAGTTCCTAGAGGTTCTAACATGCCTAGGACATATGTCCTGAGAGTCTGGTCTTGATCGAACGGTTGGACTGCTCACGACCGCACGATCGGACGGTTACTGTAAACCTAGTCGTAGGGTTGGCCTTTTTGGAGTATCCAAGACTCCGATTCACAATCCATTGAATCCTACACAATCCTGGAATTACATAGATCAACATATAAGAAATTGACTGCGATCCAACGGTTTAAACGTATCGAACCTGGAAATCGCACAATATGCAAGATCCGTTCGGGGTTCAAACGTTGTCCGAATTGAGATCCGCGAATTCCTACACGCTCGTGACAACATAAGGATAATTTTAGAATATAATGTCGGATCACCACCCTGCCCTACGTGCCGCCACACGGGCCGGCAACACGTGGGTGTCTAGATAAATTTTGGTGGCCGGAAAACTTCAAGGTTGAAGGCCAAGCTTCGTATCCTAGGTAAAGCACCTTATTTGGAACCACTTTTGTTCTTGGACCTACCCCAAAAAGTGGCTGGAAGTGGCCAGAATCGAAGGCCGAAACTGGCCAAAAGTTCAATTGCTTAATCAACCAATTAAACGTAGAAATTTCTCAAAAATAACACAACAAGCAGCTAGAACACGTTGAAAGGATAGAAAATCATACCAAATTTGAAAGATTTGGTGGCTGGAGGCGTCCGAACGAGCTACCGAAAGTTTACTAAAAAACTGTCCAACACCGCCTATTTCGTGGCTGATTCCGGCGACCACACCGGCGAATCAAGGCTAGGACTGGTCGGGAATCGAAGAGGGAAGTGAGGCGGTTCTAACGGGACCGGTTCCGCCAAGAACGGAGGTGTGTGGTGGTGGTGGTGTTGGAGAGAAGTTGGCTGGTCGTGAAGCTTTTGAGGGGGAGGAGAAAATCTGGGTTTTGAAACTGAACTTGAAATATTTACGATTATGCCACTGAACTTCTTTTGATCGTAACTTCTTCGTTACAACTCCTATTTGAGCCCACTACATGTCTACGGACTCATCTCGACGTGTTTTATGCAACAGTACAACTAAAATTTTCAAATTCCTTCCCAATCAAAGGTCAACTTTTTCCCTAATAATTTATTCTAGGGGCAAAATTGTCTTTTTCTCTAATAATTTAATAATTAAAAATTAATTAAGGACCCGGTTGTTACACTTTTTTTGTCGAAAGGCTCGTTCGAGCTTGTTGATTCTTGGACCGTCATAGATTAGTGAATCAAGCCTTCGTTGCTCATTTTTCTAAGTTAGCGAGAACTAGGCCCAAAGCATCCCAAGGGAGAAGCAAGTCCCAGGGGAGTACTTTGTTCTTCTTCCAGCAGTTGCATATTTTGTGTTGATGTTTTTGGCAGCTAGACAAAGAGTTGGAGATGGTGCATTGATGTTGCATAGGCTTGGCATGAAAGTTTGCTTTGGTGAATCACGATACTACTAGGCTTGGCACGAGAGGCTTGTGAGAGCTAAGAGAAAATGAGTGTAAAGAAAGGATTAAAGCTTGAGATTTTAGGTGTTTTCGGCAGTTAGACGAAGAG